CCCCCCCCCGCCTTTTTTTGGTGGCTTGCATTGTGGCATCTGCTGGGAGATGTTAATTACAGCAATTAAGTTAAATGAGGCTGTAATATGCTTAGCAACCCAGTTACCTAATATGTAATTTTACTAACTTGGCTGGATCTGTGTGCTGCAATTGTTTTTGTTTTAATTAAGGATATTAATGGTAATGTTTTCGTGTGGAACATTTTAGGCAACATTCTGTAACACCTATCCAGAATTAAATTAGTGCATCAGCATACCTGGTGAGGCAGGTGTTTTCATTTTTGTTTTTATCAAAACCAGTCAGACAAAGGAGCATATCTGAAGATCCAGAAACAATGTGTGGCCCAGTACCAGTTATTGATAGAGAAACATTTGGCCTGGCCTTCTGCAGGAATAAGTATCTCTACTGCCCAGTTCTCCCAAGTCTTGGACAAAGAATTTGACCTGAAAGTGTGCTTATCACAGAGCCATGCTGAGCCTCACGAATCCACCACTTTGGGCATTTGAAGTAGTGTTAAGACATTTCACCCTTTCTTTGTATCTGGGTTAGAGATCCACTTCATTTATATACAAGTCTTTAAATATATAATGGAACCATGAATTTGAAATCTTAATGACTTTCACTTTTTTTGATAAAATGGCCGCCTTCTACTCTCAGACCAAAAAAAGTAACTGTGACTCCCTAAATAACCAAGTCACTACTAAAAATACCAGTTGCAAAAGATGGAAAGAAGAAACAGCTTGAAAGGAGAAAGGGGAAATGGATATTATAAGGCTAATCTCCTAGAACATGTCATCCCAGGTACCTTTCAAAATCACTTTTTGCAGAACTGAATTAATTTGGAAACTAGAATTTAGTGGACATAAACCCAAGTTCTTTGGATTTAGCATCAGCTACCATTTTGTGGGAGGGACTGGGGGTGGGAGAGAAGTCATAATCTTGCAGAGCAGTTGGTCATCAATCCCAGATTCCTTGGAAAATAGCCCTTTGTAATCTAGCTATTCATCTGGTCATTCATTTAACAAATATTTACTGAGTGCCTGCCGTGCACCTGGAATTATTCTAGGTGAGGCATACAGCAGGGAATGATGGAATAAAAAGTCCTGCCCTGATTGAACCAATGATAATAATGGCTATTGCTATATATTCTGCACCAGGCTCCACTTTCTAATATTACATGGTCCTATTCATTTGCTCACTTATGCACACTCCTAGCTAAGAGGAAATGTCAAATCTTGCTGGAGTTCTTGGCTTTGCTTCCAACCACTGCTTTAACCATGGGAATGTGTATCTGAATTTTGCAACCAGGGAATGAAGCATGTCCTTGGGCTTCTCAAGCAGCTTCAGATAAAACTTAGAAAATGGGTGTGAATTGTAGCATGAAAGTCTGTCCCAGAGTGCTGGTATTTTTTTTCTGGCTGGGTAAGAAAGTTATCTTCTCTTGGGAGACAGCATTTTCGTAGTTGCTGTAGTTTAGTTCCTGCCACAGATAAGAGACAGATGGTCATACTTTTAAGGATACGCAAATAGCTTAAAATGTAAAATAATGGAAAGATAAATAATAGCTATTTCAGAGTCCCTCCTGAGACTGCAGATCAGGCAAGATCTTAGGAGAAGAATCTTAGGAGGAATATAAAGAGGCTGTTCCTGGCCGAATGGGAAAACCTTAGGCAGACGGATTCTGTCTTAGCCCTACCTTTCCAAATGTCCAAGTGATGACTTTTAACATCTTAATGTCCCACTGGTATTTACTTGGTACTTAGTGTCCAGAATCTGGCTACAGTAATATATTCCTAAGTGTGGTCTACAAATAAAGAGTCTACTAGGAGGCCTTTCACTGACCCCACATTTTCAAAGCATTTCAGAATAGGCCAACTGTGTGTGTGTGTTTGTGTACTTTCCTTTGAAACCTTAAACTTACATTTTCTAAATGTTTTAAAAAACTTGCATTCAGGTAGTTAGTGACCAACATGAATTGCATGAATTGAACACCTAACATGTGTCAGGTAGAATGCTAGACACCAGGGAATCAGTGAGAGATGGAACAAGGCTCCTACTCTGAAAGACATCAAGGTCTAGTGAGGGAGATGAGGTGGTAATATTAGAACAGTGGGGGTAAATGTATCAATAACGATATGTGGGCACTTGGGGGGGGGGCGCCTGCCTTGAGGAGATCATGCGATCCTTGGCCTTGAGCTCCAGCAGATGGCTGTGCTGTCAACAGCAAGTCTGTTATCTCCAACATCTCCTTACCCAGGGGCTGTCAACTTTGACATATGAGCCACGAACCTTACAGAGTGGGCGCGCTGCTGGCTGCCAGCTTAGGCAGTCTCACCTTAGGTCTCAAGAAGCAAATGAAGGGCTCCATGTGTGGTTCTTCCTGAGTGGACCAGGTCTAGGAAAGCCTTTGATCAAACTGTGGACTCTCAAAGTGAGAACTGTCTCTTCCATCCCTGGGACATCACTGACCAGCCTAGGCTCGAACACCTCCGCAGATATTTCAGACACTTATTCTTGCCCCTTCTTTCTTCTCATTTCTCACACAAAATGAGATGTCTCCAAATTATTGATATGATAGTCCCTCCCAAAAGAAAGTTGAGATATCAAGAAGTAGGTGAGAACTTGAGAGATCCGAGTGTTTGCAGGGGAAAAGTGAGTAGGGCTAGCCAGGGCCTGCTCAGAAGGTAGTACTCTGACACTTTTAAGTCTGGCTTTTCAGAAAGTATTTTCTGTGTTCTGAAGTCAGTATGAACAATGTGTGCAGTAAAAATCACTCTTGAAAATCCCTTAACTCTCCCATCAAGTTCAGTTCTCTTCCTTTCCTCAAGAAGTCCAGCATCTCCAGGCCTTGCTCAAGCTTTCTCACAGGTGAGATTCCTACTTCTTCCACGGAGCCCCATGGCTTTTCGCTTGCATTTGGAGACAAGTGCATGAGATACGCACTCAATGCAGCCAGGTGCTCCAAACTGCAAGAAACAGGGGACCTGAGTCTGACCCAGGAAACAGTGGCCTCCGTTTCCCGTCTCATGCTCACACTGGGCCTGTATATGCCCAGGAATGAAACTATGGAGGGAATTTTACACACTAAATTGTTGTCTCTCATTTACTTAATTCTTTTTTTTTTGGATGAGTGAGTATAGTTGGATTTGTCTAATGATGATTAAAGTCGTATAATCAACTCCTCTGCATATTCAACTTGACGCATAATTGTTGGCACCATCTTGAAGTCTTGAAGGGAAGGCAGAAAACCATGTGACCACAAGGGTAGTGGACCGTTTCATTTCAGATCAGAAGAATGAAAACAAGTCACCAACATGGGAGTTTTACCAGATGACATGTCAGGTGATTAGTTTCCACCTTGATGATCTTTGATGACCTCCCTCTCTCTCTCTCTTATAGGCTGGTCCATTCAGGTCCAGGGAAAGGATCACCCCAAGCTGGTGTGGATCTCTCCTTTGCAACACGAACGGGTACCAGGCAGGGGATTGAAACACATCTCTTCAGGGCTGAAATCGGCAGGGACCTCTCCCACTGGACCAGGAGCATTGTACAGGGTTGCCACAACTCAGCTGAACTCATTACCGAAGTCACCACAGGTGAGCACTGCTGGCTACGGGCTCCCGATGTCACACACTTACAGGAAGAACGCATCCTTTACTTCACCCTGGCCTCAAAGTAGTTTCCACTACTGGCCTTTTGGGGTATTTAAAATTCCAGAGGTAAATTTAAATTAAATCTCATCTTCATTCAAGAAGAGTTAGTGATTTGGCAAATCACATGTGATTTTCCTGCCTATAGCCCCAGGTGGTTACAGGAGGCATGAACTTTAAGCCATCAAGTAGTAGGGTTCTTGTTATAAACAACAAAAATTGATTCTGAGTACTTTCTCACAGAATAAAATTATTGAAAATATATTAGGAAGCTCACAGAACTGATCAGAAAACTGGAAAACCAGGCTCTAAAAAGAGCCAGAACTAAAGGCAGCTAGGTGGGGGTAAGCAGAGCAAAGGGTTTATGCTTGGAATGGTCCGCACACCTGCCCCTGGTATGAATGGAGAGGCAGGCAGGATGGAGGAACACACAATTGAGGCACCCACATTCTTATGGCACTCCAGGGTGAGCTAGAAATGGGGCGTGTATGAGGATGAACCCTTCTACACTACACTATTGAGAACTTGCTGTATGCCAAGCAACTTACATGTCTTTTACTGTTGCTCACACTGTGAGAAACAACCCTTTTGGGGTCCCAAAATCAACTAATTGAGACAAGACCAACATTTTAAAAATGAAATAATTTGGAATAGAAACATCAGTGTAAATACTGTTTTGTAATGTGTGTTTGAGTGTGTGTGTGTATATGTGTGTCCTAGGTCACAATACATTGCCTCATCTCAACTAATAATCCTCACGATTCCCTTGTCAGTGTAATTTTATAAATTGGGAAGCAAATTCTTAAGTAACTTGCCCAAGATCACACAACTAATAAACAATAGAACTGACTTTCACTCTACGTTGTGTCTTCTAAAGTCCACTCTTCATTCACTACATTGTCTACAGAGACATGGACCTTCTCACTGTTATGCCAGTGTCCCGAAACAACAGTTCTGTTCAGACTGCAGTGATAAGTAATTTTCATGTCACTCTCCAAACCATACAGCTAGGCAGGCAGGCAGGTAGGTAGATGATAGATCATAAAGATAGATGATAGATAGATGATATAGATGATAGATGATAGATAGATAGATAGATAGATAGATAGATAGATAGATAGATAGATAGATAGCTATAGATAGATAGAAACAAAATACATGCTGTAAAATCTTGTATACCTGCTAAGGTGGACTCCATATTTAAGCCAGTGGTTGTCATCAGCCAGCACAACATAGTTAGCAGTGTCCATAATGCTATTGTTCATGATTCTGAGCTCTAAGACAAATCGTTCCTGATTCTGAGATCTAAGACAAATGGTTCCTGGTTTTGAGATCTAAGACCAATGTCTTCCAGGTCTCCTGTGGTCACTCATAAAAAGGGAATTATGTGACATAATATGGAGTATCCTCAACAACAGTCTTCCAGTGAGCCCAGCTTTGAGTGCCTTCGGGTTGCTTCTGATTTCAGTTCACCCTCACACTAGCCACACTGCACATGCTCAACTGCCACTTGTGCCTGGTGGCTCCTGTGTTGGACGGTGGAAATCTGGAGCCCCTCCATCCTACAGTATAGCTCTGCCCCAGAGGAGGATTTCTCATGGGACATCATGGGTACAGTGTTTCTGAACTTTAGTTGTGCTGAAAACAACAAAAAGATTTTTAACTTCTAACCTCAAAAGCCTCAGGCTGCTGACTCCCACCCCCAGAGAGTATGATTCAGCAGTTCTGAGGTGGGGCCTGAGCATTCGTATCTCATACGGGACCAGGTGGCGCTGCTGCTGGCCCACGGGCCTCTGTGAGTGGCCCTGCACTAGGGTGCAGCTTCCTCTGGCACGCAGGAGTATTCTAAAAATGGGACCTATAGCAACGTGTAGCAGGGTTTCTCCACTATGTAAAGCTAGTGATTCTGTAGAATTTTTGCTGTATGTCCAAGCTAATCAGTCTTTTTAAAATTATCCTGAAACAAATATTCTCCAACATTGTTGAAAACCTTTTTGGAGTGTCACTGAATCTTTGATTTTACGTACCTATTCTGCATGGCAAGAAAAACTGGAGATCATGATCCGGAGAGTTGGAAAAGGCCCAAGCCACCAGAAAACTAAGTTGAATGAAGTTTTATGTGTAATATCAGAGAAGTTCAGACTCTTTGCAACAACTTCAGGAGCGCTCTAGGAAAGAATAAAGATGGCCAAAGGGATTTGGTTTAGCTTACATCCCACAGATTTTGTAAAATCTTCTCTCTCGATAAACTGAACTCTGTTTCAACAGGAAAACAGTGAGGCTGTTGATAGAGATGTTGATAAGAAATTATGCAGACTAAGCTAGCTGGGTGCTGGGAGAAAAGAAATGATAGAAATAAGCAAAGGTGCAACCCAGTTACAAATTGAAAGACGCCTGCAGAGTTGGGGAAAGGGGCTTAGGTTTTAATCAGAGCTTCAATTAACTTGATAATGTGTTCAATTTATCCTGTGTAGGTTGAGAACATCTTCAGGTAACTAATTCCATTATATAAGGGCCATGAATACCATTTGAAGTCAACTAGAATTTAAAATAATCACTACCAGTTCGTTCAGAATATCTGATGGCATAGCTTTAAAGTTCAAACATAGAGGATAAAAAAGAAACCCAAAGTTAGAGCCCATTCATGCACGTCTTCTGCAGCTGGTAGAAGTGAACACTGTCAAAAACGAGGATTCCAGATGAGAAGCTGTAACTACTTCTATGCCACTGTCCTTGGTCATCCTTGGACAGGGCGGGTGGCAGAGGTCTAGGGCCCTTCTGAGAAGATAAGGCTTATTGAGGGGCTCTGCCCGGGACTCAAGAGCTAATAGAGAACACGTGCCTTTGGGAAATATCAGCCCTTAGTTACAGGTTGGAAGTTTCCTCGGGTTGGTCGGAGGAAGGGGTATTTGTTTTAACGGAGCTTCAGTGAGAAGCCCCCTCATTCTGAGCACATACAGACCCCTCTTCTTTCTGCCACACTCTGCAGGCCTCTGCCACCCCACCGTCGTCATTACTTTGAGATGCCAAGGTCCCTCTCCACATCCCTCCATATCCTGATTCCCAGAGTATGAGAAGCTACATGGCAGAGTGGGAAGAACTTGAATTTTTAAGTTTAAACCACTTGGGCTGTGACAAGCTCGCCTCTCTAATCTTTGTGTTTTGTTTTGTTTTGTTTTGTTTAAGGGAGAAGTGACTTTTTTTTTTTTCCCACATAGCTTTGATTTCAGAGAGAGGGAAAGGCAGAGATAGAAACATCAGTGATGAGAGTCATCATTGATCGGCTGCCTCCTGCACGCCCCAGACTGGGGATCGAGCCCGCAACCCGGGCATGTGCCCTGACCGGGAATCGAACCCCGATCTCCTGGATCCTAGGTCGATGCTCAACTGCTGAGCACGCACAGCCAGGCAATCTGCTTTTTTCACCTGTATAATATTCTGCTAAGGTCCTGCTAAGGAAGGGTAAAGTGAAGTTCGGTTCGGTTTATCATGTTGAGCTGAGCTAATGGTGGCACAGAGCGATCAGTAACACCCTTACTTTCCTCTCCCCGAGCCCCTCCCCAGCAAAGAAAATGCCCCGGTGCCCCTCACGAGCTTTCACACGCTATGGAGGCCTGAGCCCAGCTGCTTGCCAGGGTCTGTTCAATGCGGTGGTTTGGGAGACAAAAAAAATATATTATCGATACTTGTGAACCCTTTGCAGAACTGTTAGGTGAAGGGTTTTAAATATTCACAAGTCCCCCTAAACGGGAACTCAGGCTCTGACTCAGGCCATCGCTTCACCCAGCCCATAAGCTTAAAGCCTAGTCTCCTTTCTGAACGCAATGGGCACAGCGCCACAGAGGAGAGCGGGCACCTCACCTGACCGAGGGGTTTCAGCTTTGTCCCTGTGGATCCGAGGGCACCATGTGGACAGCACCTGAGGTTCCTGGGCGCCACACTGGGTGGAGGGAGGAAACAGCCCTCTTCAAACACTGGGCCACACCTGACGGCCATCGGCTACAACAGCTTTCCCAGCACCAAGGTCATCAGCTCTTTGGGAAAATGTAAAATGCGCTCCTTTCTACTTATAAAATGAGCTTTGTTCAACTTTCTTAGAACAAAAAATTAAATTATTTTTCAACAACTCACTCCTGACTTCTTAGGTGGATCACGTTTGCAAACTTTGGTCATGTAATGGTGGGAACGCTTGCTCTCTCACCTGGTGGCAGACACACTGACTGATCGCACGTGTGCGTGAGTGTGAGCTCGTGTGTTTGCGCACGTGTATGTGATGATGATTCAGAGGTAGCTGACTCTAAATCAGATGTCGGTTTTTCCACGCTTGAGACAAGTACACCTCTACCTACGTGTTGTCAGGTGGTCAGATCAGGGCTGGAGGCCAGATAAAATGCAGTAAATCCCAGCAAATGGGATTTCTTTCAGTTTATTTCCTTTAGTTTCATGGAGCAAGTTAAATTACAAGATCAAGATCAATCCAAGGAAAATATTTAATGAACAGTTACTAATTTTTAACTTCAGAAAGTAATTTGTGGCTGGCCCCTGGGACTGAGGAGGCTTGAAGTTTAAGTGCCTTGGGGAAATGGATTGCCTTCCATTGTTTACCCCTCTCTCTCTCCCTCCCTCCCTCTCTCTCCCCCCCTCCTGCTCCCCTCTCTCCTTCCCTCCCCCAGCATGCACCTACAGAAACCAGGACTGCCGCTTGACCGTACATTATGACAACGGATTTTCTATCACCACTGAACCGCAGGAGGGTGCCTTTCCCAAGACAATCATGCAGGCTCCATATGAAAAGTTGAAAATGTCTTCAGATGATGGAGTCAGGATGCTGTATTTAGATTTTGGAGGCAAAGATGGAGAGATTGTAAGTGCACTTTTCTTTAGAAAGTGTGAGTTCTGTTTCATGATGCAACACGGCTACGGTGGCTCACAGACGTAATGCTGCCTTGTATTTATTGAGCATCTGACAATATATTCACAAAGTACTTGCAGGTTCATGTCTTACTCAATCCTTGAAAAGCTGATCAAATCCAGTTTTTTCAGTTCTTTTTGTTAGTTTTATTTTCCACTAGACTACTACATAAATATTTGAATCCAAGGAAAGAATCCTTTAAAAGTCAGCATTAAATTCTTCTCAAATAGAGTACCACCAGCTCCAAAATGTACATTCATTTTTAAAAAGTATCAAGCATCTGATCTAACCTCAGCATTGTGCTAGGTGTCAGGGACACAGGGATGTAAAATACGTCCCCCAGCCTGGGAGGTGTCACAGGAGGGCAGAGAGCACTGAGGTGGGATGAGGTGGAGTCAGAGCCGCAGGGGGGAAAGGGCCAGACAAAGGCCCAGAAGTCTGGGGGAAATGTGAACTGTCCAACAAAATTAGCAGGTTTGCCAGTGAAGGTAATATGCGTTTCACATCGATGCAAACAGCCCCCATGTTTAAGTTCACGATTCCCGGACATCATTACTGCCTCCCACAGTGAGGAAGTACATTAATTCAGACCCACTGCAGGGTGAGAACTGCCCTTCTATTTTCTAGCAAGTGTAGTTCTTGACATTTCTCCAGAAGACATAGCGTCTCATTTAAGCTGTGGAATGTCAAATGTCAAAGAGGACCTTGATTTTGTAATAACTAGTCTGTTTGGGTCCTTCCTGGTCACTGGGTTAGTAAGCAAATATTTACTGACTTCCTTTGGTAACAGGGATGGAGAATACATAAAATGCTGAGATAAATCTCAATTTTAAAGGTCCAGGAATTTCAATTCAGCTGCTGGCCTTGCACAATCCATCCTTCCCTGCCCCATCTCTCCAGTTATTTCATTGGTAATGCTCCGAATACCATTCAGGGCTGACAAGGGAAGGGCCAGGACCACACTTAAAAGAGCATAGGAGTCTTTAATCCCAAAGTTTCAGCACCACTGTTCTAGAACATGCCATACTGCTAGCCCTGACACAATACCAGGTTTCTCCATATGGGATCCACAGGCAGTCATGATGGAGTAGATGCCATGGCTGACAGGTGATCTAAATTCACTTTCTGAGAACATTTTCCAACCAGTCATTTTTCTGACTTTTCAGATGGATCCACAGTATTTCACAGGGTTGTGTTTTTTTTGTTATCATTTATATGTATGTTACAGTCAATAAATTCAGCCTGAAGAAGCAGTTTAGAAATAAATGATTTGAAAGTCTTTTACCAAGAACGTTTCTAGTTCAGTTGCTGTTCTGCCAATCACCCGACTGTGTACTTTTCCTAGAAAAGTCGAAAAGAAACAAGAACCAGTCTCCTGCTTTATCCTTGACTTGAAAATTCAAGGCTATTTTTGCCTGTGAGGGAAACCACTTATGTCTAAATGTCAGCCTTTTCGCCTGTAATTACGACCTGACTTGGAAGGCTTAGGAAGGACTGATTTGCTGCCAGTACATGAGGCTGATAAGCTCAAGTTCAAAGACAGCTCCCCCAGTGTCCGGTTAAGCAGCCCAGGAAGCAGGCAGGCAGGCCTATCCGGTGTGGGGAAGGGAGCAGAGAAGAGTTGTGGGAAATGCAATAAATTGAGGGCCAAGAGACCCGTCTTCTCTAAGTCTGGAACTAATCACCAACTGTCTTGGGCAAGTCCTTTTATTTCTTTGGATCTGAGTCTCCCCATCCATAAAATGCAGGGACTGAAGTAGGTCATCTTTAAGGTGACTTCCAAGTTGCATCCTGTTAGTGAAATAGAATATGGTGGGTAAGCCCTGACTCTGGCATCAGTTAGACTTGTGTTTAAGTCCATGCTTTCTCTATATTGTAAGAGCTATGACCTCAAAGTTTTATAACTTCTCCCATTCTTATTTTCCCACAGAAGTCATAGAGATAGTAACAACAGCTACCTACCTCATCAGGATTTTGTGAAAATTCAATGACAGCATATAGAAAATACTTAGCACAGTACCCGGTTCATAATATGTAAAACCTTAACTTTGTTAGGTATATGTACAGGTTGTCATTTTCCAAAAGTAGTATCATCAGAAGAGAATTGGGGACAACTCCCCCAGTTCTCCTGAATTGGGTCATGATAAAAATTCAGCCTGACCATGTGTTGGCTGCGCAGGACCACACCGAGGATGGTGAGACTTTAGAAGGGGCCTTAACAGACGTGTGAGGTGCTTGCCTACAACAATCGAAGAGTACAGGACAGAGGACAGTAAGGGCACAGTTGCTTAGCAACATGGGTCCTGTGTTTGGAGTGTATAAAGAATTTTCACATATGGTATCTCATTTAATACTCTAATTACCCTGTGGGTTAGGTAGGACCAAGAAAAATTTTAAGTGATGCGTCCAACATTCTACATTTAAAAAGGTTAGAGCCGCGACTCAGATCAAACCTTCCGATGTGAAATTTAGTGCTGCTTCATGCTGTGTCTAATCCAACATAAATAATATCACTATTGTGATACCGGAAATAAATACTCAAGAAGGGCAATGCCAATATTTATGCTATTGGTGTATATAAATTTCACAGAACAAATTTCGGAGAAAAAGACATATGAGATGTAAGGAATAAATTCAGAGAGTTATTTTTTAATCTCATTAAGGGGCAAAGATTTATAAACAGTAATTGCCCCAGTTAACTCTTAAAAGCAGGAGGTGCACAGGTCCCTTTGGTGTGGAAATCGCTCTTCTGTACCAAGCATTAACTTGAAAATCTCTCATGCTCTCTTCTTTTCAAATTTCAGCAACTGGACCTTCATTCCTGCCCCAAGCCAATTGTTTTCATCATTCATTCCTTCCTGTCGGCTAAAATTACAAGACTGGGCTTGGTGGCCTGAACGGAGGGGCGACTTGCCTTGGAGAGGAGGGCTGGGATGCCACCAGAGAGTGTGCCATCAGATGTGGCATGCCAGTCAGCTCTACATCCCAAGAGTCCTGTGTAACTGTCCCAGACTCCTGTCGTCAATTTCACCAACTACAAGGAGGCATCCTAAGAAAACAGCGCAGGGAACATCGAATAAAACTGTCTTTTTAGAGCAGTAAAGTGGTAAAGAGGAGAGGGCGACTGGAAATATACGGCATAGCTTGTGACAATCAAGGGCGCTGCAGTAGAACAGCATGTGCAGATCTTAATCAGACCAGTTTCTAGGCAGCTGGTTCACCCGGGTAACAAGGGCTGAACAGCAAGATGAGAAATGGACTTTCTCACCTCTCCTCCCCAGTAACGACCCCTTGTTTATTGTGATTTATTTCCTACTTCTGAGTTGACTTTCCCTGGAAAGGAGAGAAAAGTACTTTAAATGGAAACCCACCTTTTAAGTGCGAAGCAGCTGTTCATTTTTCTTAATGAATTATCTTTCAGCGATGTTGAATGATTCTGAAGTGTTCCCATTAGCACACACTGAGCAGGAATTAAAGCCTCAGATACTGATCTGAGCTGTAAGCTGGTGGAATCTGAGCCAAAGGAGACTGTTTAATGTGCAAAGCTTTGCCGAAGAGTAGGGTGCATGAAAGATGCTGAGTTCTGGGCTGCACTCACACCAAGGTCTGCTATTGTAGAGCCAAGACTGATAGCTTTATTTATAGAAGGCAAATTATGGATATTTTTTTAAAAGATTGTCATTTGATATATACATATATATATACAACTCATGTGGGGTTAACTAATTACCCCCATTTTGTGGTTTTCAGTGGAAGCACTGAGCAATTTATTGACCCTTGTTTCTGCCTGTGCTTGTATGCATGCATTTTCGAACCAGTAATAGAGCAGCCTCATATCATTCTGGATGATACTGGGCTTTAGATATAGACCCAGTGTTACAATCAAATCTATTAATAGCATCCATCCACGGTTCTTTCGGAATTCCAGGGAAATGATATAATGACCTGATATTTTTCTACAAGAATATTTTCAGACACCACATAGCATATTACTGATTAAATGCTTTTATCTTTCAAAACAAATTAATTAAAAATACACCTAATATTTGGTTTAGGAGTCACTTTCCTCAAACCCTGAAAATTAACTCTAGAATTTCTATAAGCATTTGTAACCCTTCTTTCACATACAGTTTACATAGACAAACAGTCTGGGTTAGATTTGTGTGTGTTTTTTCCAGAACCATATTTTGGTAAATACCTATGCAAAGAGCTTTAAAAAGTAGAAACTGTTAAAGGAATGTGATTTTGCTCACTCAGACATAAGTGTTTATTGAGTTGCAAAATTTTATTTTAGATCAGCGTGTCCCCAATATGTATCATGTAACACTAGTTCCAAGGGCCACTGCGTGGTGTTTTGTGGGGGTGGCAATAGAGGTTGATAATCAAAAATATTAAATACCGAGTTAAGAAAAGTTTAACAGATTGCAGGCCTCCTTGGAGACTTGAATGAACATTGCAGTTCTTCAAAGGGGGATCGGTGTACCGTCCCCTACATTTAGAACTCCTTTCTAACAGAGCATCTTGGGAAGCTAGTGTTAAAAGAAAAAACAAAAAAACTTTGGAAAACACAGTTTTAGAACATTGATTTTTTTTTTTCTTCTGGTTTCCTATTTTAAAATGCTGATGAGTGTCAAGTCCCAGGCTAACTATTGTAGGAAAGTTTTGATGCATTTGTAAATTATACCGCACTCTTTCAGTATATATTTTCAAAATCACTGGAATGTTGTTATACAATAGAATCATACNTAAATTACACTGCACTCTTTCAGTATATATTTTCAAAATCACTGGAATGTTGTTATACAATAGAATCATACTTGTGATTGTAAATAGCATATTAAAATACATATATTAATGCCAATAGTTTAATTCAACAATATGTAATCTAAGGTGCTCAGTAGTACATGAACTATGAGTTAATTACTCATAATTAAGTTGCAAAGATCCTATTATATATTTATAGACAAATTAAAATGATCATAATTACAAATATTATTTCATCACTTAAGTTTTGGACTGATTAATATCTGGGTGGGGAATCAACAGAAACTACATTCTCTGCATTTATAAAAACTTAATTTAAATATTTATATTTTAGAAAGAATATATTTGAATAAAATGAATGCATTTTCTGAATTTAAATGTTATTAGCAAGAAATAGAAAATTTTACTAAGAGAATTGTATATATGAATCATTTTATTTTCTTCTAAGTTAGTATATCATATCAGAATGGCTGTGATAAATCAATTCCAAACACTCATTTTTTTTTCTTTCAACAAGTTACAATGGCTTTACAGTGTAAATCTTAATCTTGTCTTGATGTGTGTCGTGAATGTTGTGAATGATACAAATTCATACGTCTGGATCAAGCCTTGTATAATCAATGAATCAACTGAGTCATTTGGGGGAATTTGTCTCTGCCCAAGTCGCTGTGCTCGGTCTGGTTCTTATGTGAATCAATGAATAATTAAATTCACAATGTTTGTCCCTTTAAGAGCAAACCAACAGAAAAGAGAGATGTTTAACTGTACTTAGTGGGAAGCTACCCATTTGTTAGAGATGTGCTTAGGTGAGCTCTTTGCTGTGGTGACGTATCTTTAAACCATCCCATAGCATAAGAATTTAAAGACCAATAGGAATATAGGTACCAATATTTGTTATTTCTGACTTGAACTAAGTAGGAGAAACAAAACCATACACCTCTTAAAAAATATCCAGGCAGAGGCATTTAATTAATTCTACCGATTGATGGAATTAAAAGGCTGAAAAATGCATGCTCCTTTGTTTAAAAGCTTGTTGACCCTTCTTGGTTGAAGTCAGAAGGAATGATCATAATGGCCAGAAGCGCTCTCCTAAAATAACGTGCAGGGCCTCTCTGGTCCTTGTTTTACAAATATCAGATATGCCACCTTGAGGGGATTGGAGTGGGGCGGGGTGAGGGAGTAAATTTTGAATGTACCTTAAGTTAAAAAAAAATGTGCCTATGTTTATAGCGCCATGGATATCATGTAAAATTTATATATGTGTTAAATAAATATTCACGTCTGAATATGGAGGACTGGCTGGTGGTCTCATGATAGCCACAAAGGGGTATGGGCGTGTGCCAACAGCCTGCTAGTCTCTTCCTACAC